GGGAATTTTTAGGGAATTTTGGGGATTTTTTGGGGATTTTCTAGCGAACTTTTAGGATTTTTTTGGGAATTTCCTAGAGAACTTTTAGGATTTTTTGGGGATTTTTTTGGGAATTTTTGGGACTTTCTGGGATTTTTTTAGGGAATTTTTGGGATTTTTCTGGGATTTTTTTTTGAGATTTTTTTGGGGGGTTTTTTTGGGGAATTTTTAGGGAATTTTTGGGAATTTTCGGGATTTTTTTTGAGATTCTTTGGGGAGGGTTTTTTGGGGAATTTTTAGGGAATTTTGGGGATTTTCTAGGGAACTTTTAGGATTTTTTGGGGATTTTTTTAGGAATTTTTGGGACTTTCTGGGATTTTTTTAGGGAATTTTTGGGAATTTTCGGGATTTTTTTTGAGATTCTTTGGGGAGGGTTTTTTGGGGAATTTTTAGGGGATTTTGGGGATTTTTTGGGGATTTTCTAGGGAACTTTTAGGATTTTTTGGGGATTTTTTTGGGAATTTTTGGGACTCTCTGGGATTTTTTGGGGGATTTTTTGGGGAGATTCTAGGGAACTTTTAGGATTTTTTGGGGATTTTTTTGGGAATTTTTGGGACTCTCTGGGATTTTTTGGGGGATTTTTTGGGGAGATTCTAGGGAACTTTTAGGATTTTTTGGGGATTTTTTTGGGAATTTTTGGGAATTTCTGGGATTTTTTTAGGGAATTTTTGGGGAATTTTTCGGGGATTTTTTTGGGGGGGTTTGGGGAATTTTTAGGGACTTTTTGGGATTTTCTGGGGATTTTCTAGGGAACTTTTAGGATTTTTTGGGGATTTTTTTAGAGAATTTTTGGGACTTTTTGGGAATTTTTTTTAGGGAATTTTTGGGAATTTTTCGAGATTTTCTGAGATTTTTTTGGCAATTCCTGGCAATTTCTGGGAATTTTTTGGGAATTTCTGGGCTTTTTTTAGGGAATTTTGGGGATTTTCTAGGGAACTTTTAGGATTTTTTGGGGATTTTTTTAGAGAATTTTTGGGACTTTTTGGGAATTTTTCTGGGATTTTTTTAGGGAATTTTGGGGATTTTCTAGGGAACTTTTAGGATTTTTTGGGGATTTTTTTTGGGAACTTTTGGGAATTTCTGGGATTTTTTTAGGGAATTTTTCGAGATTTTCTGAGATTTTTTTGGGAATTCCTGGCAATTTCTGGGAATTTTTTGGGAATTTCTGGGATTTTCTGGGAATTTTCTGGAAATTTCTGGGGATTTCCTGGGATTTTTTGGGATTTGGGTTGGAGACGTTGGAGTTTGTGGTTCTGGATCCGTTGGGAATCCCGGAATTCCTCGCTGTGGATCCGCTGGGAATTCCGGCTCTGATCCCTGGGAATTCCCATCCTGATCCCTGGGAATTCCCATCCTGATCCCTGGGAATTCCCATCCTGATCCCTGGGAATTCCCATCCTGATCCCTGGGAATTCCCATCCTGATCCCTGGGAATTCCAGGGCCGCCTTCTCCCAAAACCACCGGGAATTCCGGCTGTGCCTCCTTGGATCCCCGGGAATTCCGGTTCCATGTGGGAATTCCCGTTTTTCCCATCCAGAATTCCCGTTTTTCCCACCAGTATTCCCAGTTCTCCATCCAGAATTCCCATTTTTCCCAGCAGAATTCCCATTTCCCGTACAGAATTCCCATTTCCCGTCCAGAATTCCCATTTTTCCCAGCAGAATTCCCGGTTTTCCCTGCAGAATTCCCATTTCCCATCCAGAATTCCCGTTTCCCCTGCAGAATTCCCGTTTTTCCCAGCAGAATTCCCAGTTTTCCATCCAGAATTCCCATTTCCCATCCAGAATTCCCATTTTCCCCTGCAGAATTCCCAGTTTTCCCATCCAGAATTCCCAGTTTCCCCTGCAGAATTCCCGTTTTTCCCTGCAGAATTCCC